GAACAGTTTTTCGCGGAGGCTTATTTTCGGCCTGATTTTGCTGCTATCAGACGGGAAAAGTTTGCGGCTCAATATTTTTGGTTTAAAGCGAAACTGAAACAAAAGATATTCATTTTTAAATAGTATTCGGTAACCTCTAAAAATCAGCCGATTTTATCTTTTAGCCGGAAATCATCGGTCGTTCCTTAGGCGCAGGGCCTCTTAAGCACGCGCGAGCTCAAAATAACGCACGTTCTTTCCCGAACGAAACAATTTTGCTGCGGTGAACTAAACAAACAAATTACATGACGTTCACATAGATCAAAAAAACATTATTGAAACGAGTGTGTTAAGATACATATATCAAGTCAGAAGGATTTATATCTAGAACTTCTTAACGCATTCCTTTTTTGTAATGCATGACGTGGGAGCTTTAAGTTAAAATATGTGCGAACAGAACATTGTTCCTGGGTTTTTAATGTATTTCAGTTAAAATCCTCTGCTATGACTTCCGCCGGTGGAAGAACGGGGTTAAATTTCATGAGACTTGAATACTTGTGGCAGAGAGATGCATTAGATTCTTTTGGGTGCCGTACTGTTGATTTCAAATCATGATTATGAAGTACAATGACCATGTTCAACGTTGTTGCTGTTGGACGGGGCTGTCGATGATAAAAAAAGAAGAAAAAAGTGCCCTCTTCCTTATCACCAAAATAACTTCTCGAAACTTAACGCTGCAAAGCTGCCAAAAGGGTTGCAGCTGCCATGTGTCCATCACGCCAGTACATCACGAGAGTCTCTCTCGCTGGCTGAATTGACCATTGCAATTTCAAAACCTTCAACTCGGATAACTGACTCAACAAGTTAAATATTATGCCTCTTGATATGAGCCCAGATAATGGGATATAAGACCAGTCAACGGGGCTTGCAAGGCTTCCGAGATCTAGTTTTGTCAAATAAAATCGATTCTTTGGTAAGAGAAGACGGTATGAGGAGACCGATTATCAAGCTCTCGGTTTCAGGCTGCGACTGAGATCTCGGCAGACGAGCGGAAAATGATTTCCATATGAACGCTCCAGCCAGCTTGCTAGGACCAATCCAATAGTCTTGCTTTGGCGTGAAAATGAAATTTTACTAGGAAGCTTTTTTGTCTTCCTTCTTGAATTTTGTGTCCAAACTTGGCTTGTGCCTTTTTCACATCTCGGTAACCGAATTTGCCATATCGTGAACAGAAAACAACATTTGTCCCACTTACCGGGCCGGTTCAGTTTATACCAGGCTCATATGAAGAGACCATGATTATCGGCAAAACTCTCAGTTTGTGTGGAACAGACTGTCAAACCTGAGTTGCCATGGAAACGGAACAAAGGTGACACGCTTCAATGTTCTCGTTGTCGTTATCTTATATGTCACGCAAAACGCGAGGTGCATTCAATCACGCGCCCTTCCAATTCAGAAGCCCTCGGGACAAGGGTTGCGTTACGTAACTTCCCAAATAATGTTGAGATGGATAAGATGCCGGGTTTATACTAGTTATGCAACGCTTTCGAGTGGCATACCAAGGAACATCCCACGAGTTACTTGCACTTTATCGGTATTTATGATATAGATAGGACCCTGCGCGCGCTCTGATTGGTCAAAACCCACGTTTTATCAGAGTATAAAACATAGAAAAAGCGAGTTTTATAGTTTTTCGCCACATTACCTCTATATCATAAAGCAAATGACGAAGCCTAAGCCGTGTATTACACTGTGATAAAACACTCTGGACAATTGAGAACACTCGAGAAATGTATATTTCCCTCGTGTTCTCAAATGCCTGTCATGTTTTATTACAGTGTAATACACGGCTTAGGCTTCTTTATTTGTTAAATGAAACGAGCCCTCAGGCAAGTGTGTATACCAAGAAAGGCATAATTCGTCTAATCTTAGTACTACGGAACTTTAACTTTACGCGGTGTATTTCAGCGCCCCCTCCTCCCACCACCGTCCGATTAGGACGAATGCCTCCTGCTTAATGTTAATGTTGTTACAACTTGATGATGTGCTATATCATATTTCTTCCTGGTGGTTATTGAAATTGCAGGTCAACACCAATGGTGTTATTTCTTTCCTGGTGCAAGTCTCACAATACACACCAGATGCTTTTCCTCTAGGCGATAATCGTCGGCTAGTGGCGCCATTTTGGGCCGACGTTGACACACGAAAAGGAGGAGATGTGTTCTACAGAGAGACCACAGATCTTAACCTCCTGCAGCAAGCAACTAACGATGTGACTGCTACATTTGTGGACCAAAGAAAGTTCAAAGCCACCTGGTTATTAATAGCCACGTGGCACGATGTGGCTTTCTATGGCGCTAGTGGGAATTATACAAATAAGGTAAGCTGACTAAGCTATATACGTTATGTATCTCCATTTATTCAAGTAGTCTGTCTCAGCAATATTAATAGATACATGTGTTATTGAGAAGCCAAGATGGCTGGATGTTGGCCAAGTAAGTTCATTTTTTGCAAGATACTCCCTGTTAAATAAAACATGACTAGTTTCCTTAAGGGTCGAAAACAATCATGATTTGTTATACCATTTTACTCGAGTCGTTAAAACAGTTCTCCTTCTTTAAATTTCAGAGGAACACTTTCCAGGCGGTCCTAATTTCGAATGGAAGGCATTCTTTTGTAACTTTTAATTACAACAAAATCACTTGGACAACTGGTACGGCCAGCTCAGGAAATGAAACTGGACTCGGAGGTACCCCGGCACAGGTACAGTCAAATTACTCTGTAGCTCGCGGGGGATGGTAAGGTTCCCTATCATTATGATTGCCAAGTTTTGTCCTTCGGCCGGTTGAATCGAGACACGTTCAGCCCGTGGCTCACTTGATCGTTTGGTTTGGTTGGTTAGTTGGTCAGTTGGTTGATGTTGTCAGTTTAGAACCATAGCGTCGTGAGGCGCTTTGGTGCTAGTGCAGACTTACACAACCTTTGAAAGTTTGAGAAAGGGGTGATCTTAGTAGCAGGAACGCGTAATCAGGAACACTGCCAGCCAACCCAACGATCAAACGACGATCGACAACCCAACTGCCTGATCAACCAACCAAGCGGCCGAACGACCGGACCCAATTCGACCGGCCATTGAACAAATTAGATTGACCGCCCAATTCCAACCGATCATCGACTCACTGACAGACCGATCAACCAAACAAATGATCGACTCACCGACCAAGCGACCTATAGCCTGATCGATGGACTGACCGTTCTACCAACCAACCGTCAATTAGTCAATCATGTATTAATTGATGAGTGGCCCTTTTTTGACAGGCGGGCTTTAACGCTGGTGACGGTAGACGATTTTTTAGTGTCCCTGGGTCTCGTACTCATCAAGTTATTAACCTACCTACACAGTCTAATGTGGGAAATCCCGGTCGGTGGATGTTCCGTATCGACAGTGCGAAAATCGAGGCTGGTGGCTGCAACACGAAAGGTAAGAGCTATTCTTTCAGTATGCTCTGAATTCATCCAAACAGCACCTAATTTAACCAAAATTATAACAACACAATAACAGAATGGCTTTCAATCCTCGACAAAAGAACGCAGAATTATTCAATTGAATTATGGGTGAACAAACGCAACAGTTTTGTTCGCTCAGACGATACTAAAGTTTAGCTATCAGGGGTATGGACCTCCACTTCTACATGTCAATGAAAGAAGATTATGGAAGCCGAATCGTATTTAGCCGAGAACACTCATTTCATGCTTCGTCTTGCCTGGCTAGGCTTAGGTCAGCGAGAATGACTCGTTTTAAAATAATTGAAACAACATTGGCAGAGACTACTTAATCATTTTTCTAGGTTCGCTCGTGGTTTCACCTCGTACTGGAATTATGCTTGGTGGTGATAACCTTTTTATAGCTGGACCCTGCTACCAACCATCGGATGTAATCGTCTGTGAATTTGCTGGCGGGAAAAGAAGCAACGGAAGTTATATTAGCAATATCCGGGCATCCTGTACCGTGCCCATGCTTTACGTTACAGGCAGGTTGGCACTTAAAATGTCAGTCAATGGGGGAACGAGTTTTGATTTTCAAGCAGTTATTACAATTGGTAAGATTATAGTAAATTAAGGCTAGAGTAATCTACGATCATAATGTGTCACCCACCTTACGCTCTTGGGTCATGCATATTCCCTAAATAGATACAAACGACTAAATATAAACGCAAGGATATGCTCCTTTGCTGAGCAAGAGTCTTAAGTCTGTAAGTCAATGGTGTGCAGCTTGTACATGGCTGATGACTTCATGTTGGGGTGCTGGACTTCGCAGGATGTTGGTTTGGTGCGTTCCTTGGCACTAATGAATTGTCCGTCTTACCTGACTGGGGTAGCCTGTATAAGCTCACATCCCATCCAGGGACAGAGGTGCGGGGTTGTAGAGAGAGAATCTGTATGTTCTTACTATAGAAAGAGAAGGCTGAAAACTCTAAGAGTAACCTTCTTACACTACACCAAGTCGTTATTTCTTGCAGTAAACATCAAAAGGTTCACGCCTCGCGTTGTCAGGCTGTTCGAAAACATGTGGCAAGAACAGAATCGATTGCAGATCACATGGGATCCAGGTCAGCTTGGAAGTGAAAATCAGAAAGTGTCTGTCCAATTAGCACGTTTTTCCATGAGAACTAGCGACGTGGTTTTTGACAGTATGTTTACTTTGGTGGCAGAGCAGGCTAACACAGGAGAGGGCCAGTTTATTGTACCAAAAGGAAAAGGTCAAGGGTGAGATATTTAAGTTGTTGAAGGGAAGGGGCACTCCCTTTTATAAGCTATATAGGTAAAAATTTAAGGTTAGTCTGCCGGTTTTCATGTGACGTTGACATATTCTAAAAATAAAAATTTCCTCTCCTTATGAGATTTGCAGATGTCTGTTAGTGAAACTAATATATTTGGCCATAAACATCAGAAATATGACGCCCTTCTCAAACGCAAACAGTAGGCATTCTTGGTTGGTTGAGGTACGCGTTAGAGACGCGTATAGATGTTGGCGGTCTGAAATTAAATATGGTATCGATTTTGGGCAGGTATAAAAAAGGATATGAAAAATCAAAGATTTTGGCCTGAAACAGGGTAGAGGTGTCAAGAAAGGTACCGTACACCCCTGCCAAATATTTTGGGCAGTTCCATCCCCCTACCTTTCCGCATGGGAGACTTGAGAGAGAAAAAAAAAAAACAATGTTGACGACGCACAAAACGACATTAAATGCAAAATGCAATATATCTTGACTCTCGCAAACCGGTGCGACGGAGGCAAGGGTAGATGAACGGAGAACATAACTACTTGAAGATTTAAATCGACACAGTTTTTTAAAATTTATTTGCATCGTAATTTTTGTTTCTTTTAGCATGGTTTAGATCAATATTTTTCAGGGCTGCTGTTGGGGACGGCCGTTTCATTACACTAGTGATGGTGAAAAAAACTGGACACAGTAGCGGTAATTCCCCGGCCGAGTGGATCTGGAGCGATTTGTTCTCCTGGATCAGTTATGAGTTTGGCAAAGAACGATGCAAGCACTGGTACAGAAATCAGCCTCACCCAAAGATATACTTAGGTAAAACACATAATTTCAAATCCCTATAACCGTGATTATAAACCCGCTTGTATGACCATGAAGAAGTGATGTTTCTTAAGAGACTACTGTGCATACTTACAAAGTTCGCATTCAACCACGGGTAAACCAAAAATAAACTGATTTCTGCCTTTGTAAACACAGTTTTTGATTGAAGCATGTTAACTTATTGCTCAGGGTACAGGCGCTTGTATTTAGCGTATTTATTTTACTGGAATGGTTACAACATACAAAGATACACCAACAGAAAAACTAACACTACTTACAGTAATAGAATTACAATAACCTACACGTACACTAATTACAATACAGTTGCCCTACTAAACAATGCAAATAAACGGTGTTTACACTTATAGTAATATGGTACTTATCTAATTACTTGCACTTTAGCCGAAAACAGTACTTATAATTAGCTTAACCGTATTTTGAATATATGCTTTCTCTAGCCGTATTATATTAGGGCCATTTATACGAGAAAAATAATCCGCGGCTTATACAAGCCGCGGATTAATTAAGACGCGAACTTGCCGTATAAAAGGTACATTTTAGCCAGTTCACGTCTTACCTAAGCCGCGGATAACATAAGCCGCGGCTTGTGTAAGAGGAGGGTTTTGAGCTCGGCTTAAACAAGCCGCGGCTTATATAAGACGCGAAGCCACTCGTATAAATGGTATCGCGGCTTGTTTGCGGCTTACTTAAGACGCGAACTCACAATGCGCAAGAACAGGGAGCCCTCACATCCGTTTAGAATATGAATAAAAGATTAACCTACCTTTGTCGCGCGTGTTTTGTGTTCTGTGGCGGCCATTTTTAATTTTTAACACGCGCGCTGTCTACTAGTGCGAGGTCTGGAACCGAAATTAAGGAAATCGCTCGGAGCCTGCTCGGAGGTCTAAGAAAATGACACTTGTCACTTTATTATCCTCGGGGAGTGATCGGCTACCTCCGAGAATTCGGTAATTTTCCCGCTCGTCCCAGACTTCCGTAATTTCGGTTCCAGACTTCGCACTAGCAGACCGCGTAATAAAAATTCAAAATGGCTGCCACACAACACAAAACACGCGCGATAAAGGTAGGTTAATCTTTTATTCATATTCTAAACGGATCTGAGGGCTCCCTGTGCGCAAGCGCAAGTTTTTCCCGCGTTCGCTCGAGCGCTCGCGCAATTCCGCGATTGCTATGACAACCAACACAAAAGCGAGGCATCAGTCACGAATAAGCCGTGAACCATTTATACGAGCACTTCGCGTCTTATATAAGCCGCGCTCGTATAAATGGTTCAGTTCGCGTCTTACGTAAGCCATGGCTTGTTTTTCTCGTATAAATGGCCCTATTGTTTCACTTATTCCTTAATATTCTTAATATGGGCAACACAAAACCGAACATCCACGTACAAAGCACCGAAAGAGAAAGAAGGATGCTCTAGTTTTTTACCGCACAAAATAACACCTTCTGTGTAGATTTCAAGATTTAAACGTGGGTGGGGGTAAGGGTCAGGGCTTTGACAGCGTTTAAAAAAGTGAATTGTGTCCGGGAATACTTTCTATGTTCGTTTGCCCTTAACATAAATGGAGACACTTAAAACGCAGAACTAGTGTGGAGGGGCCCCCGGGAACACAGAAATATCTTAGGAAAATGTTTGATATTTAGCAAAACGTAACGTTTCCGTCTTAAGTGAATTCATCTGTTCTTCTTTTTCTATCGTGTCAGATGACCCTTCCCTGCTTCCATGCCCACAAACCCTTGTGCAAGCAATGGCGGATCGTGGGCGATTCACGATGGATGAATATTGCAATCCTGATGCTGAGGAACACTGTGTGCGTTATCATTATAAAGCCACGCACTGCTTTAGGACGAACACACCCAGGTAAACAACAATAACAAAGGCTGAACAAAAACAAATTGTCGGGTAGAGCTATTTCAGGGAATGTCCGCGCAAATGGGTCAACACTAGGACCACATTGGAAGCTTGAAAGTGGTACATGAATACCCCTATTAATGCTGGGGATTTTTTAACCCCATCAAGACGGGGCACTCTGATTTGAGTTTCCAAACCCACTTTGAGCCCTCGTAACTTTAGAAGTGCTTGAAACTTCAACCCGGTGACGTATGCTGAAAGTGGCAACTAATGTGGTCCCTGTCACTGTTTAAGGAAGCCGATGTTCCCATAGCAACAGTATTTTGGCAGGCATGTTCTCTTTCTTAGAATAAATTTTAGTTTCTAACGGAAAATTAGCCTCCTTTATAGGTTTTGACTATTTTAGGACGAATTGTGGTGGTTTTCTGACCTTTTGTAAAAATCATGAACCAAGATGAAGGATGAAGATGGTGGCTGTTTGGAAAAACAAAAACTACATCATTTCTAAGTCAAATGCTATCATTATTTCATGTAATGCACCTCAAGGGATACATGTTTGGACCTGCTATACATGTATATCCTGCACGTTTCATTGTCATTTCTGAACGCTACAAAGGGTGAGTCTTAAAAGCCTCCACCCACCGTCTCAGAAAACAACAACTACGAAAAAAAAAAAAAAAAAAAAAAAAAA